CTACTACTACGACTACTACGACTATTTCTACAGTTACTACGGCTACTGCTGCTATCACTACTATTTCTACTAATATTACTACTATTACTTCTACTACTACTACTATTACTACTACTACTACTACTACTACTACGACTACTACTACTACTACTACTACTGCTACTACTGCGACTGCTACGTGTACTACTACGACTACCACTACTACTACTACTACTACTACTACTACTACTACTACTACTACTACTATTACTACTACTACTGCCACTACGACGAATACTACTACCACTACTACTCTTACGACTACTCCTACTACTACCACTACTTATCTTACACGACTACTCCTACTACTACTACTACTACTACTACTACTACTGCTACTGCTACTACTACTACTACTACTACTACCACGACTACTACTACCACTACTACTACTACTACTACTACTACTACTACTACTACTACTACTACTACTACTACTACTACTACTACTACTACTACTACTACTACTACTACTACTACTACTACTACTACTCATACTACTACTACTACTACTACTACTACTACTACTACTACTACTACTACTACTACTACTACTACTACTACTACTACTACGACTACGACTACTACTACTACTACTACTACTGCTACTACTACTACTACTACTACTACTACTACTTCCACTACTACCACTACTACTAATACTATTACCATTACTACTGCCACTACTGCGACTGGTAGTACGAAGGCCACGATTGTTATCAACACTAGCATGAACCATTAGACTAATCCTGATACAAATACTGGAAGTAGCAGTAGACATACCACAGCACTACTAGTCATACTATTATTCGTAATACTAAAGGGACTCATATAAATGAGAAGAAGAATGATACTACCAATACGAACAATAGTAAGACAACTTTTACAACGACGAATGAGAATCAGAGGAGGAGGCGGTGTAGGAGGAGGTGTCGGAGGCGGAGGAGGAGAAGGTTGAGGAGGAGGCTTTGAAGGAGGAGGAGGCGGAGGAGGAGGAGAACATGGAGAACAACATGAAGATGGGGAGGAGGAGGAGGAGGCGGAGGCGAAGGTGGAAGCGGAGGAGGAGGCTTTCGAGGAGGAGGCGGAGGAGACGGAGACGTAGGAGCAGGCGGAGGAGGAGGAGTAGGAGGAGGAGGAATAATACTAATACAACGAAACACAACAGGAGGATGAGGAGGAGGACGAGGAGTGAGAGGAGGCGGAGGAGGAGGAGGAGAGGAGGACGAGGAGGACGCGGCGGGAGGACGAGGTGGAGTCGGCGAGGAGGAGACGTGGCGAAGTCGAGGAAGCAGAGGAGAGGAGGCGGAGGAGGAGCAGGGGAGGGACGAGGGGGGGGGGGAGGACTAGGGGCGGAGGAGGCGGATGGAGGATGGCTGGAGGAGTGGAGGAGGAGGAGACAGAGGAGGCAGGGAGAGGAGCATGCGGAGGAGGAGGAGGAGGCGGGTGGCGGTAGGAGGGGAGGAGGAGGTGGAGGAGGAGGCCGGACGGAGGCGGAGGCGGCTTGGAGGGCAGTGCTCTCGGAGGAGGCGGGTGAGTGGCCCGGGCGGGCTGCTGGGAAGGGCCAGCAGCGGCGGTTCGCTCGGGGGCCTCCTGGGGGGCAGGCTGTCGGAGCCGTTCGGCCCAGACGGCCCCCAGGCGGCGCTCGGCGCCCCCGCTGGTCGGAGGAGGAAGATATCGATCATGAAGATGCGGATGGGGGAGGAGGAGGAGGAGGAGGAGGAGGAGGAGGAAAGAGAGGAGGATGGTGGAGGAGGATGCGGGGCGGAGGCGAAGTTTAGGCCGATAGGTTTGAGGAGAGGAGGCGGAGGAGGAGGGGAGGAGGCGGAGGAGGCGAGGCATAGGATGGAGGAGGCGGCGCGGAGGAGGATCACTTAGTAGGAGGTGGAGGAGGCGAGAGGAAGGAGGGAGGAGGAGGGAGGAGGAGGGGATGGAGGGAGGAGGAGGTGGAGGAGGAGGGATGCGGAGGCGGAGGCGGAAGAGAAGGCGGAGGCGGAGGGGAGGAGGTAGGCGCAGAAGGCCCCGCCACCCCGCAGGGGACCGCCCCCGTCGGCGGCGGCGCCTCGTCGAGCGGCGGCCCGCCGCAGGCTCCGCGGCTCGCCCCCCACGGCCTAGGCTGGGGCGCTGCAGCCCCGGACATCTGCAGGCATTATCAGATCTCCCCCTCTTCCTGCTCCTCCCCCTCCTCCTTCGATCATCCTGCTCCTCCTCCTCCTCCTCCTCCTTCTCCCAGTCTGCCTGTCGATGTGTTGGCTCCCTTCTTGCCGTTGCCGAGCTCCTCCCAGTCTGCCTGGCTGGGGCGCTGCAGCCCCGGACTTTGCAGGCATTCCCAGATCTCCTCGTGCGGATTACCCTCGTAATCGGAAGCTGGAGCATATACACGCCGACGCCGACGGTGACTTCAAAGTTCCAGGAAAACTCATCGCGCGGTCCGTCATCACACAGTCTTGGGACCGCGGCGGCCCCGGCCGCCGGAGGCGTCCTCGGAGACTGGCCCAGGTCCCACCACCGCGCAGTGACCCCGAGTCCCTTGGCGGAGACGCCGAGTCCCTCACCACGCGGTGCAGTTACCACACCAGTTGAGCGACGCCCCAAAAAACGCGTTTGTCTTCGCCGACACTCGCGCGTAAGCTGCCCGCGTAAGCTCGCGCGTAAGCGCCCTCGTTCCCAATGTAGCGTGCCGCGCTGGCGGCCCGCGCAAGCCGCGGCGTCAGGTCGCTGTGTCATCTCGCGTAAGACCCGTTTTTCATCGTCTCTCAGCTGGGGGGGCCCATAGAAACGGAAGGACGAAGACTGTTTCGACCCACGGCGCCACAGTTCTCTCTCGGGTGCGCCAGCGCCCTGGCTTATCAAAGTCTCCAGTCGCGGGCCTCATCCTCCCTCCCTCTCGCCTGTTAGTCGTCCTTCTTCCCGCCCCCCCCCGCTGTGCTCAGCTCGCGAGCGTGGGGGGCGGATAGCGTGAAGCCTGGGCGACAGCCTCTGCCGCCGCCCGCCCCCCCTTGAAACGATGGGGCGGAGGGGGAGGCGAGACGGGAGGAGGAAATTAGTGGGGGCGAGGAGCGGGAAACTAAACGAGCTAACAGAAATTGATCGTCGACGCCGCCGGTGCATCGGCGATGCACCACCGATCCCCGACCGCCTGCATAGGATTTCTCATGTTCCAACCCACTTTAGCCTTGATCACAAGAAAACCAAGAATGTACCGAAGCTGGAGGGCTTTCACGTGTCGGGGGCCCTGGGAGGCGATACTCGCTCGACACTGCGTCGATACCTGTTGGGGCTGCTCGAAATGATTGCTCTGGGATGTGGTCCTTAAGTACGATGGGAGACGCATATCAGGAGAGGAAAAAGCACACAGAAACAATTAATCAATCGTCGATCCCCAAGAAATATCGGAAAATATGGGAATTGGGCGGGAAGACAAAAACCAAGAAAATATTGGAAAATATGGGGAATCATTTTATTTTATTTGTGTGTATTTATTTGTGTGTCCTTGGGCCCCTTGAGCATAACCCGAGGAGGGGGGGCAAGTCCAGAGGGCCTGCAGAGATCGTCATCCAGTGGGCAAGCAGCCTCTGCGCCCCCAGGGTGCCCTAAACGAAGAGAGCAGGGGCACGGGCCGCGGGGGCCACGCTCTAAGGAGGCCCCTCGCCTCTCCGAAGGCGTGGAGGGCCAGGCACGATCCTTCGTGCGCCGGTGCCTTAGGAGGGGCCTCGAAAGTCAGGCGCCGGGCCGCGGGGCGGGGGGGGGGGGCGACGAGGGGGCCCCGGCTCGTCGCCCCCCCCCCCCCCCCCGCACCCCCCCCCCCGACTGCGCCCCCCCCACCCCCGTCGCCGCAGCCGCGCACAGGGCCGGGACCGTGCGCCCGCCGAGGACGACATGGAGCAGGAGCCGGCCAGCGGTCGTCGTCGTCGTCGCGGTCGTCGTAGTCGTCGTCGTCGTCGTCGTTGTCGTCGTCGTCGTCGTCGTCATCGTCGTCGTAGGAGGAGGAGGAGGAGCAGGAGGAGGAGCAAGAGGAGCAGCAGGAGGAGGAGGAGCAGGAGCAGGAGGAGGAGCAAGAAGAGCAGCAGGAGGAGGAGGAGCAGGAGCAGGGGGAGGAGGAGGAGGAGCAGGAGCAGGGGCAGGAGCCGGAGAAGGAGGAACCAGGAGGAGATATGCTTGCTGTGGTCCACTGCCAGCCAAGCTTCCGAAGAGATTGCCGGGCAGGGAGGAGACACAGCAAATCATACATCGATGAAGGCATCGACGGTGCTACCCCCAATCGAGGAAGGCACTTCTTCTTGCAGGGTGATCCTTCCCCCAGCCTCCCCAGCGCCTAACAGTTCATGTGCCGTGGTGGCCGCCCGGCCGCGTGGATCGACTTGGCACTCCACGCGCGAGTCAAGTCGCGGGGCTTCGCTTCCGCCCAGCATCCGCACAGTCCACCGAAATGTGCAGCGGCCCTTTTGCTTCGTGCGGCGCGGCTGTGATGCGCACCGTGCCCATGGACGAAGGCTGCAGAAATCGCAGGCCCAGAGGTTGACACCAACACCAAGATCAGCGGTGTGCCTCCACCGAGGGAAGACGATCCCGATCTCGGTGATGGTGGTAATATTCTGGCTTCCAAGGTGACCGAAATATTACCACCAACACCGAAATCTAGGATCATCTTCCACCTGTGGAGGAAAACCCCCTGTGTTGGTGTTGGTGCTCACTTCCAGGCCTCCAAAGAAAGCAAGCGCCGAGGGGGTATCGCTCATTGCAAGCCTACACCAGAGGTCCTCACCGATCCGTGCTGTAGAGACCTGCGAACCCACCGCTCGTCTTCCTCCGTTCTGGATTCTTGAGCCCCCCGGCACGTTCTAGAATGATGGAAGCAGTGCGACGCAGAATGCAGCGAGCTAGAATTTCAAGGTCAACGACTTCGCGGACCACATCGGCCAGGATCTGGGCACTCGCCGCCGACCGCGCCGTGGCCAGAGCTTCCGCGACCGCATTGACGAGAAGATGCCGTGGGTTCGGAGTCGTCACAAGATGAGCAAGCTTAGCAGCATCATCGGCCCAATGGCTAGGCGTGCGAACTTAGTCAAACCACCCGGACCGCAGGTCGAGCCCTGTTCCCTCTCGCGTCTCTGGGGGCCCTCCACGGGGGCCAGGGCCGTCGAGAGGCGGCTCGGGAGGAAGACCCTTTGCAGGGGAAAGCCTTGGGTGCTCAAGGGCGCGTTTCCCTCGTGACCGCTTGGCTCATGCCAGAGTGGGACGAGGAGGAAGGGTCAAAGAAGAAACAACACCATAAACAAACACTTTCGACGCTCCGCGCGGATTTCTTGGATCTGCGCCTCGGCCCCCCCGGCGGCGCCTCCGGCGCAGATCTGGGGGGGGAGGAGGCAAAGGAGGAGGCAGAAGACGGGGGAGAAGGAGGCGGCGGAGGCGGCGGCGGGAGCGGTCCAGGAGGTCTCCTCCTCGCCAGGATCATGACATCGACCTTCCAAGCCAGTCTCTCCTCGCCTCCCCAAGCGCCGGGGCGGCCAGCGAGGACGACCTGGGCGGACCTGGCGCTGGCCCCGACCAGCAGGGAGCCGCAGCCGGTCGCCCGGGCGCCGGCGGCGAGGAGGGCAAGGCTTGCCGCGCCGGCCGGGGCCGAGGGGCCATGGGAGAAGCGGGCTCTGCGCCCAGGTCTTGCTTGCTGTCGTGGGCCCCTCGCGCCGCTGGCGTGTCGGGGGGGCGAGATGCAGGCTGGTTCCTCGCAGCAGTCAGTGCGCGTGCTGTTCGTGCTTCCAATCGCGTCTCGCTGGCTGCTGGGATGCTTTCGGTGACGGGCAGGTCCTCAAACTGTTCCATGCGCAACGTGCCTCCCATTTTCCAGCCCCGGACTTCGAATTCGGTTTTGGCATAATGTTGAACCAGTTTCAAGTTTGTCGCAATGTCTGAGGTTGGCGCGCTATATTCCGCACCTTTGGAAGACAGTCGCCATCCGGTACGTTTTCTCATGGACTCTCCTTGATTTCTGTGCCCTGGCTTGGACATGCGCCTCCAGCTGGCGGCACTTGTTCAGCCGATGTGTCGTGCAGACGTGGCGTTATTCAAAGGTATCGGATATCTGGTTGCCAAAGTCTTTTCCACTTTCTCTCCAAACGGTTACCGAATCCCTGCGTGTTCTTGCGAGAGCAGGGGGCAGGCTGAGGGGCCTGCAGCAGGGCAGGGGGCGAAGGAGGAGGGGAAACCGGTAGGCAGCGGGGGCAAAACGAAGCGCCAGGAGGAGGAGGAGGAGAAGGAGGAGTAGGACGAGGACCAGGAGGACGTTGAGAAGGAGGAAGAGGAGGATGAGGAGGAGGAAGACGAGAAGGAGGAGCCATGGAAGAGGAGGAGGAGGAAGAAGAGGAGGACGAGGAAGAGGACGAGCAGGAGGAGGACGAGGAGGAACAACTGCATCCGTAGCCATTTTGGCTCAAGGGGTCTCGCTCCTGAACTTCCAACCTCGCTCAAGGGGTTCAGCCGATTTGCGCTTTCACGTGGGCAGCCTCCCCTCTGAGGCCCAGTTCTCAGTGCGCTTCATCGTGTACCCTCTCGCATCTCGCGGCTGCTGGTGATGGGCAGGTCTGGTGGCAGGTTCAGTCAGCAGGATGTGGGATTGGTGTGCCCGTGATGCGGGTGTAAGAAGATTCCTTCGCACTTTCGGTTCTGCTATCATTGTCGTGCCTTTGCCGAAGTTTGGCAGCATCGTCGTCCCTCCACCCACCCCCAACACCGAGGCCTGGACCCGCTCTCGCAACGGCGGCAGTGTCGTCACGGGGCCGACCGAGGCCTGGACCCCCTTCCTCTCAGTGTCGTCACGGGGTGGACCTGGAGGGGCACGGAAAGGGCAGAGGCACAGGTGGGGCAGGAGGCCAGGGCTCTCGCAGCGGCGGCAGCCAGCCATCGGGGCCGTCCGTGTCGACCCCATCGAGGCCTTCCTCGCTCTGCCACGGAGGAGTTGCTTCGTCTGCAGCAGTTGTGTACCCCGGGGCGGTTCAAGGGGACTTCTCCCGCAGTCCTCGTGCGAAGCCGTTTCCAGTGCGTGCGCGGAGGCGCGGCGGGCGCGCCGGGATCTGCTCCCGCCGAGCGGGCGTCTCCCGCGAGCTGAGCAAGGTGGTCTTCGTCGTGAGAAAGAGAGTGAGAAACTCGAGCCCGCCCATGCTGCGGTCCTTTGTCAGACTGCCGATCTTAACCAGCGGCGTGTTGAGTTGGCAAAGGCCATCTCCGATGAGGAGCGAGCTGTGGAGGAGGCCAAAAAGGAGGCCGCCCAACTGCTTGCTACCAGATCTCAGTGGCCTGATGTTACGTTCCTTCGGGGTCACACGCAAGACTCCCAGTCCATGTTGTCAGGGCTCCGAGGGGCCGAAGCCAAGAGCGGATTGGAGGCCAAGTGCCAGGATTGCATGACTATGTTCAACTCGTCCTTTGCAGTTGAGGTTCCAGTTCCTGCGGAGTCAACTCTGGGAGTCGATGAGGCGGACCTTCATGAGGCTATGCAGGTGGATGGGGTGTCCGAGCAGGCCAAGAGGCAGATCATTGACGCCATCCTTGAGGCCAGCAAGAAGCCTCGGTTTCGATCGCCTGGTCCAGGTGGGCGGCCTGCTGGTAGCACAGTGGTCATGCGCGACTGCTCGCATCCCAACGCAGGGCGGGAGGCTGCAGGATGCGATGCCGACGAGCGGGACATTCAACCTTCCTGTTTCTGAGCATGTACTTGATGAGGTTGACGGCTCCATCTGGAGCGAACCCTCTCCATGGTCTCACAGTTGGTGTTCTATGCCGGGGCCTTCTCTGCAACCATTGTGGGGCATGGAACGCAGCGACTGTGGTCCTCCCACGGTTGAATGGGGACCTCCCGCCCAGTCTGGCGGCGTCGGTGCCAAGGCGTGCACGGGTCCGGTCCAGCCTGCAGGAGTTGGGCCGTGAGGGTTTCTCGTGCAGGGCACGCTGCGGTATGTAACCGCCCGGCGAATTCGGGAAGGTTCGTCGCCAGTTTTGCTCAGGCCATGGCAGGCTTGGTTACTTCCTCTCGACCGGGCCCGCTCTCGCGAGTCAAGATGGCTTTGGGTGCCCAGAGTTGATCATCGCAGCAGCCTTCTGGGTCGTCTCCGAGGCCTCCTCCTGAGAAGGTTGCCTTGTCAGTGCAGAAGCTCGCCAGCGAATGTCACGTGAGAGCACCCTCGGGTGTGACGACCGCGCAGAGAGCCCTGGTTGTCACGCTGGCGGACCAGCTGGAGGAGGAATGCCATGTCATCGTGCTCGCCCTCAACGCAGACCGCCTTGTCGTAGACGGAAAGGTCTACATGATTTGCAGTCACGTTCACTGGATCGAGTTGGGTGCAGGAGTCCAATGACAGTACGGGTCTCGAGCGCCCTCCATCCATTCGCACCTTTGGGTTCAATGACTTGATCAGGGAGGCCTCCGCCGATGTCGCCACGCTTCGGGAGCATCATCTCGATGGGGATATTTTCAGCGAGCTGTCACTCGATTGCAAAAAGGTGGTTAGCAGATCTTTGGATCAGAACGCATTCGGACCGAAGCAGGCCAGCCCTCAAGTGGAACGATGATCCGTGTTTGCCGACGCTACGAGGCGTGGCTTCCACCAGGTACTTCCGCCGATATTGTTGGAGAGCGTGTCACTGGGTGTTTCTTCCGCAGCACCGAGCGGGGTCCGTTTGCTATCTACTCAGTGTACCTCAAGGACTCCAGTGGGTCCAAAGGCGAGAACACAGACGTCATGAAGACGGTATGGGAGGACACTTTCCAGCATGGGTTCCCGCATGTCTTGGGCGGTGACTTCAACGTGTCCCCGAAGGTTTTCTTCGTCAGGTCTCCGATGAACCCAGTAGGCGCGATGATCAGAGACTGCAGTACCTCCATGTTCATCTCCTGGGGTAGCCACCACGCTGGACTATTTCGTGGTCCACATGAACCTAGATCATGCCATCCCGATGGTTGAGACAGACCCCGAGGCTCCTTTCAGCCCCCACAGACCTGCCAACCTGACCATCATGCAGGCCATTAAGGATGTCACTGCTGCTGTGCCCAACAGGAATGTCAAGGCCCCCGCGGTCCCTGCTATTGGGCCCGAGCTGCCTCGTGCGGGCTTCTCGGGCGTAGCGTGTATGCTCAAGGATTTCTTGGAGCCAAGGCTCGGGAAGTCCGGGGGGGGGGGGGGGGGGGGCTGTCGCGGCTCGTGGGGCCGAGGAGGAGCGTGGGATCGGTCTCCTAAATGGTGTCTATCAACAGTGGCGTCCGCGTGCTTGGGGAGAGGTTGTCAAGGCCGCCCACGCTAAAGGTGGTGGCCTGCCAGGTGGATCGCCGCTCGCGCTCGAGTCCGTTCGCGCCTCGACCCCCGTCGCCACTAAGAAGCGGTCTGCAGCTTTCCCAGGCCGCGTTGTTCAGCGGAGCGACCTTCTTTTCAAGGAGCTGCTTGCCTTGGGAGGAAGGGGAGCCGAACGAGGAGGGGCGCAGGAGTCTGCATCGTCAGTGGCGTCACCTTCCGACTGGCGGACGGGGCGCAGTTTCTGGCATCCTGACTTAGCATCGATTGCCGAGCGTGCACTGAGTCCTGGTGGTTGGGAACCCCCCCAAGACATCCTGAACGAGGGGCTCGAGGTTTTGGAACCCTGGGTCCGACAGGGACAGTTGGAGGACCGCAGCAGATCTCGGAAGTCCCGGAAGTCGCGGCGTGGCGATGCGCCCAGCAATGGAGGCAGGCAAGCGTTCGCTTTTTTTACGTGCGGGAGAGCCTGCACAAGTGGAAGTGGCTGTCCTAGCTGGAGGATCCCAGTGGTCTTCCTGCTCGACTCAGTAGCGAAGCTCTTACGCGGAAAGGGGCCTGGCAGGCTTCGGATGCACCGGTTGACTGGGACGGGCCCAGGATCCCCGAGTTCCCCATCGAGGTCTCTGGCCCCGCATCTGGTGAGACCCTGCGGTGCATCTGCTCGCGTTTCCCAAAGATCACTTGCTGCCCCGAAGTTTTCCACCCGAGGCGCTTCAGCATGATGCGGGGAGGGGGGGGGGTCGGCGCTGTCTTGTCTGTCATTGCTGCATCATCATATGGACGTCGTGGGAGAAGGGCCGAAGACGGCCCAGAGCCGCATCGCTTTCTTGATGGGGGGGGGGCCCGACCAGGGCCGTGCACCTAGAGGGCGCTACACCGCCTTCGAGCGCCTCCACGGCGAATCGCACTTAGGGCCTTGCAGGGCCTTGGGAGCTCGGGCTGGACTTGGGCCTGAATCCCCATGGGGCATTGGCAAAGCAGCTTAGACATGGTCTGGAGGTATTCTGCTGCATCTGAGCGGGCCACTGGAGAAAAGGTGTCTTGGGCCAGCCTCCTGTGGGACCTCGAACAGTTCTATGAGGTCGCGGGCCACCTGGAGTTAGTGAAGCAAGGGGTGATATTGCGCCCCCCGTTGCATTTTCTTTTGTACATGTTGTCGACCTACCGATGGAAGACGGCATCTTCTGTTGGATGGAGCGCACTCGCAGCCAATGTATGTCAAAAGGGGCATTGTCGCAGGCAGCACCTCCGCCGCGTACGAAGCGAAAGCGCTCGTGTGGAATACCGCCATGCATGGTCGCAGCGTTCAGGGCACCCG